TATTGCTTAAAACAAGTTGCAGGTCACCAGCCTTATTCCGGGAATGAGTATTGTATTCAGTGTTTATTGATTTATTTTTAATTTTTTATATTAATTAATTACTTCGTCATTATTATTATATTGTTTATGTTTATTTCTATATAGATACAATTTGCCAGTATGGGGAATATATGTGGTTTGAATTTAGACCTGGATGGTGACGGAAAGGGAAAGGGACACGGACGTGGACGTAAACACAGCCGCGGTCATGGTCATGGTCGCAGAAAGTCTCGATCCCGATCACGATCTCGATCCCGATCTCGATCTCGATCACCAGGGCGTGGTCATAAGAAAGGACACCATAAACATTAGCACACACACGTCAATGTAGACGTTTTTCCAGAATCACGATTGATGTATTTTTTTAGTTGGGTTTGGGGTTGCACTGTTCTTCTAGTTGATATTTAGACTCACTGACCAACCATGTGTCATATTCTTGTTGATGATGGATTACTGGAGGAAACATACAACACTTGATGAGCTCCGGGAAACTCTCGGACGTTGGGAATAATATGTAAATGAGCAGAGCCGTCACGTGTTCAAACTCTACCACGCGTCACACACGACTGTCTTGAACTACAAGTTACCAGTGGATTCAAAGAAGTGACAATTCATGCTTTTGTGTTTGATATTTTTAATTGATCTTTTATTTTATATTATTTTCAATTACTGTTAAATAACAGAGTTTTTCGTGTTCCATATTTTTCCAAATACAAGACATGAAATCCTGCATATCGTAATCGGATTTATGTGTATATCAATATTTCACTTTATATGTCAATCTATTTTTCTCAGAAAGATTCCTATGAATGCATTTATGACATTATATGTGCCAGGCTATCAGAATGACAACGTGATACCAGATCACATATTACCCGCCAAGTGAAATAAATATGAATATTTTCGATTGAGATACTAGTATAGAAACATGTCTAAATTTATCGATCAAAATTTAATGTTCATTTAAAACATTGGTGTAGTAATTTACATGTTAATGAACTATAACAGATATGTACACTTGGTGTACTTTACATAATTACAATTGTCCTGTATTTGTTAATGAACTATAACAGATATGTACACTTGGTGTACTTTACATAATTACAATTGTCCTGTATTTGATCATCTTTTTAGTTATGCAACTATGCCTTTATAAGTAAGGGCTGTACATTTACAATAATGTCAGTCTGTATTTGGTGTCTGTTGTGTGCGTGTCTCTTTCTATGGTCTGAAACCATAAATTTGAACTCTCACCACATCAATGAATAAATTATACGTTGTGTTGTCCAGCGAAAGTTTCACATTTTCAAAGTATAGTATTGATTATACAATGACTAACTATCCCACAATATACCGCCCTCAAACGGCACGTCGCTAAGAATATACCTATAACGGAAAAAAATACTTCTTGACATGCGAAGATGGAACTATCAAAAATCCTTTGTTTTGTAATCATTGTGTGCACCAGTGACTCAGTGTGTTTACTGTGATAGGTATTTTTGATGTATCCAAACCTTTCACTTAGGTAACCGGGATTCGATTGTTCTCCTTGCTAGACTCGTGTCACATTCGATTCTCCCTGTCTCTCCTTTTCCTCTCGAGACAGCTTCAAATCACCTTTATTACTCGTCAACCATTAGCCAATTACAATACAGTATAAGAGACTTTGAGGCGTTGCCTCCAAACAAACAGCCAATCACACGAAAGTTTTTCACATCATAATACAATTGATTAATCTTCACTATATTAGGAAAACCACTATCATATCGTCAACATCAGTTTATATTTATGGGTACTAATGGTCTTGCAATAACATTCCACAGTTAACATTAATATATATTATTCGTTCTGGACTATGACAAGACATCGCATAAGCTTGAAATCGCAAACATCATTAGTTTTGGACTACGACCAAAGCACCACATAAGCTTTAAATCGCAAACTCATGAGAATGTGTTGTCTGGTCTCAACTAGTTCCGTCATCTGGCCTCACCATTTAACCTTTATCAGTAGATGTCATGGCAACCACTATTAAACTGACTGGCCTCATCATTTAACCTTTATCAGTAGATGCCATGGCAACCACGATTAAGCCAAAATATAAATCATGATATTACTATCACAGTGACACGAGAATGATTTTTGGCAGATTGCGATGTTTCGGCAAAGCCTAGATGAATATATCGGTATGTCTCTATATAATACATGGGTGATGGGAAGGTGGTCCACAAGTGAAACTTACGCGACTATTTAAACAATGCTTCAAGATATTATAAAGTTATCTCACGGTATATTCTTATCGACGAGTGACATTGTTGAACATAAAACGAGTGATATAACACTGTATTTCCTTGCTGGCGTTAAATAAACTGTTATCAAGCATGCAACAGCTAAACCCAAAAGCGTTAAAACTAAAATAAGGTTTAATTCAGACGGCAGTGATTCTCAGCATATAAATTTGGCCGTTGTTGACATTGTAAACACGTCTTCAAATTTAATACCTTTTCAAATTCATATGTGGCAATCCTATGAATCAGGTGCATTCAAAATATTAAATGTTGTTCATGCATATTTTAATGAGTATTAAAATTGTAAAAATATTGCATCTAAGGACATAGGTGACATGACCTGAAGTCAGTGACATGTTTTTATAACGTTTTCATATTTTTTGCTTAAACATTAAAACCGAATTTTCTATTAAATATTTATAGTGCTATGTATACATTATGTATAACAGTGATTTGGTATCATTTGGTACAGTTGTGATGGAAATAGTGATGACATTTGAAGGAGGAAAAGTAGAGACTTTCACGGGTTCTGGGATAGACTTACAGTCTCGTGTTTATTATTTTTTGATGTTTTTTATAATATCATAAAATATGGGAGTGTGTAAATGGGGAATGCCGGGTTCGAGGTTTTATTGAAAATACACCAACAAATAAACTAGAGACTGTATGCAAGTATGGATCTGGTAGTGGTGAAGCTATCTACTGCTGGTCGACACTGGAATTCTCGGGAGGTGCATTGCTGCTAGTACGTGGGTTTTGGACGCATCCATAGAGGGAATCCAACAACTGGTCATCATTTGTTGTCTACGATTTTGTACTCTATCCTTCATTGATATGGTCTGCAGCGATAGCCACAGGGAATAGCTCTAAGAGAGCTAGCTAGCATCAATACAGTCACATATATTACATAGAAGTATACAGTTCTGCTTCGTAATAATCGTAAAAGTAGTGCCGGTCACAGGGTGGGAATAAAAAATAACACCAATCACGTGACTGAAACACAGCTGTAACACTTGATATTTTCACTCCTATAGTAATAGAAATCAGTAGATAACACACTCGAATGGATGATAGTCAATCGTATCTACAGCCATAAATTATCATTCTCAACATAACATGTATGTTATGCGGCTAAAATGAAAATTCTATAATCGTGTAAATTATTGTGTCCAAAAGCGGAAGATTGTTCAGTTTTTTGGAGAACGATGTAAAAGTTAATACATGTACTAACAAATTTCATACATCCGGCGATTAACTTATTTAGCCACACGTGTCACCTTTTTCTAATATATATCAAGACGCATTTTGTATTTGGTGACATGTACATTTCGTTGTTCTGAACAAGGCCGTAATGCATAAAGTACCTTCATTTGAGTGGTCAATCTAACCCATGAAGGGATAAATTTAAGAAAAGTGCTTGACGTCACTTTGGAGATTAATTCGCCAACACACAGTGTGAACAGTCTGTGATTGACTGTTGGTGTAACACTTGGAGATTGATTCTCCCACATACAGTGTGAACAGTCTGTGATTGACTGTTGGTGTAACACTTGGAGATTATTTCTCCCACATACAGTGTGAACAGTCTGTGATTGGCTGTTTGTGTAACACTTGGAGATTGATTTTTGCACATACAGTGTGAACAGTCTGTGATTGACTGTTGATGTAACACTTGGAGTTTGTTTTCCGTGTGGTGTGTGTCAGGCTGTATCTACTTCTCTACAAACTTGTGTATAGAAATTCCAGATGTATGCAGATGGAAGGCGATGTGGTGATGAGTTTGATAGCGGATATTGAATAATAACACCTTATGTCTATATTATGTTTTGTTTTATTAGTACAGCATGCAGATACAGAAAGATATTTTCTAATTACTGTAGACCTATGGTCATCGGGTTGTCACAATACGTTGGTTGTGTAATTGGTGTTGACGACCTAACACGTATCACGGAAGATGCAAACTGAAGGAAAAATGAAAATTATATATATAATAACCGCATACAACTTAAAATATTCTTTTCCCACTTCTTTGCAGTTACAAGTTTTATTAAAGATATATGTAGATAATTTGTAGTGGTTATTTATATGACGGGAACGTACCTTGTTTCTCACAAATATAACCTTTTCTGATGTCATTACAATACTCATCATCCATTTAAAATATAAAAAAAACACAATTAATAATGATATGATGCATAATTATCGTAATATTCGTACAAAGTGTGATCAATGGTTGATATTGTAGTTAATTGCACATACAATAGATGAAAATCAAATGAACACCATATACATATGAGAAACTATCCACATACAGTTTTTAAAAATAACGTTTGTTTTTGTAGCCCAACATAAAAGACTTTTTTGGTAGTTGCATTATAACACTAATTATACCGTAAAGTAATTACGTGAATACGAATACACACTACATATACTTCATGACAGTGAATTCATTGATTTATTTGCATATATTAGAGTAACACCTAAGCAAACAATTTCAGGTTATTATTTGTAAACTCACCTCACTTGTGCACAATCTTGGCCCTCAGCTGCGTTACGCTTGGTGTTATTGTTTGGTTCGTCATTAGCCCAGTTTGTGTAACCATTGAGCCACACAAATGTATTTTCGGTAGCTCTGTCGTTCAGACCAATCCAAAACCCAGTTTCAACCGAACTGTTAGTACCAGAATAGTAGATATATAATCTCTGAGAAGATCGTCTGTGCGTTTATCGGGAATCCTGGCCAATTGTCCATTTTCACTTTCACATTTTTGTATTGCTTCATCCCGAGTATCTGCATCAGTGTGGATTTCATACTCCACGACAACGTGATTTAGAAGCACATGTCCTGCTTGAAGAAAGTATATAATTCTTTAGAATTTTCTTGCCGCGCATGAACACAATCGATGTTGATGAATATGTTATTTAATCGCAATTATTTGAAACTAGTCTGTCATAGACTGAAAACGACTGGAACGGGATATATAAGTCAGTCGATGAAACATCTTTGTTGCAATGGGAACAATAACATTATACAGTAAGGTGCTGTGGTTAACATTGTTGCATTATAGTTTTCCATACAACTTGAGTAACTATCATTGTTCTAATGATTATAGGTTTCACACAAACCCAGTACACAAGTAAATTATGCAATAATAATTTCAATTATATACCTACCATGCACAAAATATAGCCAGGATATCGTGATGACCAAAACGAGGGTAAAGATAGTACAATTCATGGTGTATGAGCGACGCGTCAAATTATGAAAATGAAAGAATGTAAATCACGTGATTAGTAGAGTATATGTTAAACAAAGAATCACTACATAACATTAGGATATGCTTTACCTGCAATATAATGAATTAAAAATAGGTTTCATGAATTCTAAATGGATATATGAACGCGAGGGTTTTATGTTTGAAAAACAAATGACATGAAACAGAAAAATACAAATACGTTTTCATATCATCATTAGCAGGACTCTCCCTCGCTCGAGGCGAGTTGCACTGTCTGCTGAACTGACTGACAAGTTTATTGCGTTGCAAAATACAATTACGCCAAGACCAGAATACATACGAGACGATATATGTTTCGCAGTCTTATGAATCCGTTGTTTCCTAATCCAAACTGTTCTAATTAACTTGACAACCAAACAGGTTTGTCAGTTGAATTTAAGCTAAAGCCAAATAGCGGACTGCCAATACTAGTGTAAATGAAGCGACTTCATTTTTTCCAACACATTTTAATTTGTGTAATGGTTTTATTGGCTCCATGTGTAAAATCGGCCTGTTTTTTAAGTAATATACTTCATGTAAATTGTGGACATAACGGTATACATGAGTTGATAATTCAGTTACTGGTTTCAAACCAAATGAATAGAGATATACTTACGTATGAGTGCTAATTCTTCTTCTTACTTCACGCAGTGTGACTTAAGGTAGAGATGCAGTTCACCTAACAGGTATTTTAATTAGTTAATTAGGAAACCAAGATGACCTCCCTTGTCC